GCTTAGGCAAACTCTCATGCAAGGCCTGAGGCCATGTCTAAAGCCAAGTTTAAGGTGAAGTTTAGAAACAAGACTAAGGCCACGTTGAAGGTGCAGTCTAGGGCCAGATTTTAAGGCCAGATTAAGGGCAAATTGAAGCCCAAGTCTTATTTCATTTTCCTGTTACATTTAAAGTTATGCCTATGTAACTTTTCTAGTTTAAAGCCAATTTGAAAATAAGGTCCACAGAAATATGTAAGGCCTTGCATAAGGCCATGTTTAGGGGCTAAGTAAAGGCCAAGTGTAATGCCATGTGTAAGGAGTTACCTAAGACAAAATCTAGTGCCTAATTAGAGGTCAAGTTGAAGATCATGCCCAATGACAAATTAAGGCCAAGTTCAAAACCAATTTTAAAGCTAACTTTGAGGCCAAGTTTAAGACAACGTCTGACCCATAGTTATGGTCAAGGAACGGAGAAGATTAAGGGAAAGTTTGAGGTTATGCCTACCATCATGTTAAGATAAGATGCTTAAGGTTACGGTGAAGTCTAAGGTCACATATTCGGTAACGTTAAGGCCAAGTTCAAACCTAAATCTAAGGCCTAGTTTAAGGCGAATTTTATGGTCAAGTCTGAGAATAAGAAAACGTCAGGTGTAAGGCTATGCTCAAAGTCAAGTTAAGGCCACGTGTTAGGAAGTTTAAGCCATAGTTTAAGTCTAATTACAAAATTAAGCAAAATTTAAGGTCTCGTCTAAAAATTAGTTTAAGGCTGTATTTATGGACAACACTACGGAGAATAATTTCCTAGTCAAGGGTAATTAATTACGGTATTGAATCCTAATGACTTAAGAGAATCTACAGTGACTTTACGATCGACCGGTATAAGGCTGTATCTCTCAGGTGGTCCCCAGCTCCCTTAATCATTCGCTGGAAAATCGATCATAATAGAAAGCTTCGCTTCCCGAACGGGAAAGTTCTTCCGGCCGATAACATGAAAGAGAACGGATCTCTTGAAATAAATAAAATTAAAACTTTAATCGTAGGAATTGTGTATTTAATCACTTTGTTTACATTACTGATCGTTTGTGAGTATTTATACGCGTACATTCAAGTCAACCTGCTTAATGCTGCTGATACATGAGACGTACAAGGGAAGTTGCAGTTCACTTTATTTGTTGTTATTCTGATAGAGCTACTTTCCATGAAAAAGAGCGAGACTGAAATTTCTGGCATGATATTTACCGTCAGTCAACATATTTCTAGCCTATAAACTACATTTTGTTGTTTGCTACTAATGTACACAAGGAGCCCTTTAGATAACGAAACGACGCACTGCAGGTGCCAAGACGCCACTGTGAGATGGCGCGCCGGTATGACTCTCGTGGGTATTTAACAGCAAAAGCTATATAACATATGTATGCACAAAATGGAAAGGCAAATTACGCGTCGCTTTATAAAGCTTACGAGCGACGAAACTCCCTTCAAAATGTAAGTAGTGACAGCTCTTGGCCATTTCAATTAAATGTTCGTCCTTAAACTTCTACCTTTAAGAAGGGAGGATGCCCACAGCTGGCATTCCATGTCCGGAACAGATCGTGCGATTTGACTGGCAGCGTTCATTACTTTCACAGTCTCTTCAAAACCTTCCTGAAACGGCACATTTACATAGAACAGACACGCAGTCAGCAAACGAAACAAAAAACTGGTGTCCTGTTTAGAATAAAGAATATTCGTCCTAAGAGAATCAACGTTAAAGAAGAGATCTTGTTCATGTCTTCCTTGTTCGCCAGCGTCAAGGCGTCTCTTAGAATTCTTCTAAAAAGCATAATCGGTGAGTGAACAATGAAACGTGGTCATAAAATAATACATCTAAAAGCAGTAGCAAAATTCAAGAACCAACAAGAGAATTGTACATTGTGCATGAGGATAAAAAACAAACATTCAATTTCCAACAGTCAAGTGTAGGGTGAAAGACAACGGTCAGTCAGCCTCCTTTGTTGCCTTCCTGGACAAATATTTTAACTTACACAGAGAGACTGGGCGATGAATCGAATTTAAAGCCATATCAGTGAGCAATATGCATCTCAAGCTGTGGACCACTTATGGGGCTCAATTAGCTATAACTTAATGCGCTTATTACACGTAAACCACTGAATTAGGAATTGGAGCCATTGGAGCCGTGGCATCGACCATTATGTGCTTCTGTTTTGGAAATATTCAGCAGTAATTTTTCTGCCATATCTATATTCACAGGAAATTCCAAACACACAAGAACATTTGTGGATCGTCATCTTGTAGATGATCCTCATTATCCAGGACAGGCAAAGAGCCAGATTGACATAAGAAACCAGCAGAGAAAATAACACAGCCTTCCTCTGAAAATGAACCACTCCAGAACGCCGAAACACACCTATGTTAATCGATCACCACTAGTCACCGTGACGCAATTTTGGTTGAGCAGAGTTCTGAAAAGGTATATGAGTGGAAGTTCGGTGTGGTTATCCATCGATTGAAAAATGGGATTAAAAACACCGCAGCAACTGTCAAGGATCCCATTACTCCGTCTATCCGCTAAGTCCGCGGATAGTCCTTGGAAATGATATGCCGAAAAAAGGTACATCAGACGACGCAAGAAAAAACAACCCAGCTTTTGCTCTGGCCGAAGCAAACACTATCAGGTTCTTCGTTCCTTCAGGTCTGTGAGAAATGATGGGAATCAGCGAAGGAAGTAAATGCTCGCCTCACAAACCTGGAGAAGCCAACAACACTGACCTGACAAAAGCAGGGTACAGGCGTATTTTGTGGAAAGAGATACTCGTTGCCCTGCCCAAATACTGGACAGGTTTTCAAGGCATTAGACGCGAAGGCGATCCTTCTGTTTAACTGATTGGATGGTGCTGCTGCCAGAAACGATTAAATTGAGACACTTAAACTGGCTAATATTTCGAAAACTTTACCTCATTGTTCCTTGTTCACTTGTAGATCAGCTGTTCCGAATAAATTCTTCGTTACTTTCGACTCCCGGGAGTTAAAAAAAAAAGCTAAACTTTTGCAGCCTTGTCGCATGCGAAAGTCGTCAAGTGACAGTAACCGATTCCAGTACCACTGGCAAAAAATATCATCTGCGCACTTTATGTCAGCAGGAAATCTAGCTGGATATCTTGAACAGAGCCTTCCTTCTAGATTGAAACCGTCATCTTTGCCAAGGTCGGCAGTGTTTCTGAGACGAACGTCAAGAATAATGGTGATTAGCAAAGACGAGGGCACACCTCCCTGGCGAGCTTCATAGTTAAACAGCTAATAGGGAACCACTCAGATAGTTGTCATTCAACACAATGGTATGAGGTATAATTAAACAAAACAATGATAAACAAGACAAGAAAAACTCCGACACAAAGAAATGCATAAAGTACTTCGATTCCGACAGTCTTGACTGCATAAACAAGTGAAGACCTTTGAGAAAGCAGGCAGCAGGTCGCAGGCAGGAGGAGCTAAAAGTGAAATTGGCTGAAATGACATGAGAAAAAGCACAAGTCGCACAAGTTCTGAACGCTCTCCGGGTTGACTCTATCGGCCAGGCCGTAAAAGTCGGACTCTCGACCATCGCGAAGATACAGCAGCGCCAAATTGAGATTGACAAACGTCCACAACTGAGCATCACGCGCCAACTAAAACATGCACAAGTTAACAGGGACGGAAAAAAAGAGAAAAACTACACCAATCGAACACTCACTCGTAAAGCAGAGTTGAACTGCGTTTCGGTTGCGGTAGAGCAATTCATCGAAATTGCGTACAGCCCCTATAGCGAAAAAATTTTAGAACAAGCTATTTAAAATCGAACACTATAAAATAAATCCACCATGTCAAAGGGTGCCGAGCAGCTGCATTCTAGCATGATACCATACATACATTACTTCATGCTTACTGTTAATTATATGTTGATGTGATTCGCTAACCCGCACTGAGCTCGTTTCCTTTCCCCAATGTATTCTCCAGAATCAGCACGAAACACCCTATGCATGTCAGTATCGTTTAGTGCGCAGGCTGGCGGCGGCAGTCCATGATGCAAGTCACCAGCTGCATAGTACGGAACAGTGCATATTAGTAAAGCGAACTGGTGAACATTAGAGATTTAGCCTCGATACGTGTTTGTTAGAAGAAAAAACTTGAAGTTACGGTTCACTGTAATTCTGAAACAGAACTGCGTAGGATCTTTCTCTTATCTACGCAGAAGAGGATAAAGATTCATAGACAAGATGACAAAACAATCAACCCAACTGAATGGTCACAATCAGAAGAATACGACGTAAAGATTTTGCGCGCAGTTGTCACATTGTCGACATCTTATGAACAAACCATGGCGTTTGCAATGTCATTGTTTCGTTTACAATGTTAGACCTACGTTGCATCAGCATGAAGGCACGGTCTCGACGCTATAGACCCTGAAGGTACATACGTCCAAATGTATAATCCTCAGCTGACACATCTAACATTACCGTCATCACTTATATTGTTGCATCTTGTATCAAACTGATATTATTCACACCTATAAAATGAGACTTTTTTTAGAAAGCGCTTCGTTTCGAAGGCAAAACAGCTCTGAGGTATGTTAATTTAGCAATTTTTATGCATAAAAGCACTACGAATTACCGTACTTTCGAATGATCGAACTACTGTTAATAAAAAAACAAATAAACAGGTATTATGGGTCTGGTGACAATTTGCTAGTTTTCAATACCGCCGGCAAAACTAGCAATCTTCCCTGGACTGACGGCGTAGTCGCAACCATCCCCTTGCTTCTGGCAACCTCCGAGGGGAGGGTTTAGGCAGGTCACAGTTCCATCGTTTATTAGAAGGGCGAAAACCAGCCTTTCTTTGATTACGCAAAAATATGTTCGAATATAAATTTGTTCGAAACAACAGTGGTGCGGTTCTGAGTCCATGTAGTATTGG